CCGCCATTTTGCAGAGAGGGGTGGGCAGTACTGCGCCGGCGATAACAGGCTCATTCAGACGCCCGTCATTCTGTGGTGACTTCTCATTGGGCAGGAGGACGACGAGTTCCCGCCTACCCCAGCCGCAAACCAACCTCAGGACGGCAGAGGAGGCACGAGACCATGGATTGGGCCGGTCTGCCACGCTTGTGCCCGCCTTCTCGGCGTCCTAAGCTTTTCGATTGGCTGGTGACTAAACCTATCGCTCGCCCAGCTGTGTCAATGCTCGCTCATTGGCTCCCCGCGGGTTGAGGCGGTGGGGCCTGGGCGCCCGGTGGTTCCGGGGACATGCGGCGGGGAAGCTTCGGCCGTCTGCGCAGGCGCGCTTGGCCACGCCTCGGGGGAGCCTGTCACTTGCAGTCCCGGCATCTCCCGGGGAACAGCAGAGCGAGCCGGTTTCCTGCGCCCCGGCCACTGCCCCCGTCACCCACGTAGCCTTTCTTCCTTGCTGCTTGGACAGAGCGGCTCGTAAGCAGCGCTGTTCCGCCCTGTCAGCAAAAGGACTGGGAAGGCTACCTGGCACTAGCAGAGGTACCTTTCCTGAGCGTTGAGCGTGCCCCGTCTGTGCAGCGAGTCAGGGCTCACATACCTCGTGGATGGGGTACGAGTGCAGGTGAAATCTTCTCCTGCCTTAAAGCCTAAATGGAAACCACTTCTTAGTCACAACCCTGCACCTCCATGGTAACTAACACCAGGCCGTATGAGCGCTTCATGCTCCAAGCTATGGTGTCCAGCCTCTGATTTTGATAGCGACCCCATTGACCTTTCTATCTTTGATCTTACATACTTTCTCTTCAACATCCGCTTTCACCATAAATTGTTATTACACAGACTGCTGTGCTAACTTGCAGTTGGAGTATCATCGCTATATGGTGTTACCTCCCTGTACCATGAACTTATTTCTGGGAGCAAAATCTCCCTATGCTGCATTATGGTAAAAAAGTACCTTTCATTGCATTGGAAGTAAAATAAATCCCCTTATTTGGATCAATATCCTTACTGGGAATAGTTTTTTTCCTCCAAGGGAGGGAGATGTGGGGGTTAATTGCACAGGGCTGTTAATTCCTTCCCCTGCTGCCACTGGTGGGGAGGGGGTTGGGTGGGGCAGCAATGACCTACAGGAGCCTGTGGCAGCTTTGGCAGTGGCCAGTCTCAGGGGGCATGTGCCCCCCCTGTGTCCCATTTTCCTGAATGTGGTGGGATGAAACAACTATTTTTCCAAGTAGCACAAAACTGACAAGATTCATTTTTTTTGCTTTGTTTCATGGTCAGCCATCAATGCTTCTGCTGACTCCTGACCTTCATTCAAGTCAGTCAGCCTACACAGCTAGCCATGGTCAAATCTGGAGTGCTATCCAAATGTACATACAGGGGCTTCTATTGTTTTGCACAAATTAGAGTGAGTTTACACCTTATAGACCAAGTCAGAGGTGCATAATATAAGCTTTCATAAACAGATGTTCATTTCAAAAGCCATTGCTTATGCTATGCATCCCTGATGTAGCTAGTCTATATAGTTCTAATCTACCCTGCCTTTTGCCTGACTCCAGCCTAAATATGGCTAACTACTTTTCTTTCCTATTGTTTTGGCCATTCCAAGCAAAGGGGCTATGATAAGACTAGACCTTCCAGATAGTAGTAACACCCAGCAGTTGACAAGCCTGGCCCTCTTCCACTTATTCTAGTCTTGGTTTCTCAACAGTAGCTGTACAGCTGGGACTAAGCCTGACAGTGCAGGTTCTAGACTTCTCCCAGCCCTCTGGCCTCACTGGTGAAGTTTTTTATGACCTTTTTGCATGTAGGGGGTTAAACTCACAGGGTGCTTTACGGCACCTACAGTGTGGCCTCCTCTTTTTATAGCTGCTCTTGGTCATCCAGTGTTTGCTAGCTTAAATCCAACAAAACCCATCACTCCTTCAGGTATTCACAACCAAAATGCACATGAACTTAAAACCTTATCCTTCCTTGGTCCACTTGGGGGAAAAATATTGAAGAGGAAAAAAACCAAAACAAAGAAAACCTCTTAACCCTTACCCATCAAAGCCCCTTTTACTGTACCTCCAGGTACCACCATAGTCTATTTAGAAGCTTCACCTATTTCCCAGCCAGGATCAGAGTACCCTCTCTAGTCTGAGGACAAGCCTTTTATTCTCCTCCAAGCTCCTCCCTTTCCAGCCAGCCAGACCCATCATCCAGTCTGAGCACAGGGGTTGCTGATTAGTCTCTGCAGCCCTGCCAGCTGCCTGCCTTTTGGCTACAATCCCTTCTTAATTCAGCCCCTGCTCAGGCCAGGTTTAATGGTGATTGCAGGGACCTTGCTTCTTCTCTTTTTTGCTGCTTGCCATCTGGGGTTTTTCTTTGCTGGTCCTTGCAGCTCTTTTCCACCCTTGAGTCTTTATCCCTCTGAATCACAAAAATCCTGTTTTTTGAGGGCCCTTGCCAGTTCTGTTTGCTCCCCAGCTTTCTCATAGTAACAGGGCAAGTGTAATTCTCTCTTACAAGGAAGGGTGCCAGAACTGGGTTTTCAAGGGTGCTATGAGGTGTGAGGAGATAAGCAAGTGTGAAGAGAACAAGTGCACACCCATGCTCATCTCTCCCTGGCCACTTTCCTACCTCCATTCCTCAACCTGCACTATAATAAATAAATTAGTTTTTGAAATGCAATTCACAAAAGTTATGGGGGGTTGCCTCGAGTCAAAGGAGGGGTGACTTGAGTTTAAAAGATTGAAAACTGCTGATCTAGGGTGTGTATCAGCCAAGATTGAAATAACCCATTAATCAACCACACGTTTGCCTGAAGCCACTCAACCTCCAGCATAACATTGACTCATTGACTCAAACCAAGGTTAACAAGAAAAAATTAAGCCTTTCCCTGTTTTTGCATGGTACTTTATTGGTCTATTTTAATAATCAACATAGAATAGTACCAACATTCTGCATGGGGATGCTGAACTAATACTACTGTAAAATTCCATTTGTCTCTAAAAACGGAGGTGTTGTGTTAATTCCACACCAAACTGACATAAAAATCTATTTTTCCTCAACTTAGGTTATGAGGACATAAACACATTTCTGTGAGGTAAGCTAGGGTTAGCTTCCTTGCATTTACCACATAAGAGCGTTCACATTGAGAGTTACTTCAGAATAGTTCACATGCTGCAGGTTCACAGACCAGCTTACCTTGGGGCCTTTGTGTGTCCCATACCCTTAGAGTTGGATGAGACATTATTAGGTGCTCAAGAAGAGCATGCAAAGGAGTACATATGCTCATTAGTTACTATTTAAATCTAAGCTAAAATAAGAGAGTGGTTTTGAAGGAGAGCTTGTATTAAAAAAAAAAGAGAGAAATGTATTAATGCTATCACAGTGGGGGAGACAGATACATTCACTGAAGTAGAAGAGACTGAATTCTACACATTTCTTTCACATTTACACATTTTAAACATTTCACAAAAAAATGAAGCAGGAGGAGGAGTGATAACACACTGAAGAAATGATAGATCTTCAACATTAAAAAAAACCAAGAAGTGGTTCACAGTAATACCTAATCTGTACCTCACTTAGTGCTTTCTTAGCTAGGGACATAATTAGTTGTATTCAGTAATTCAGTGTATGGAATGCTTTTTTATTATGATCTCTGGCATCTGAAGCTTGTAAATACAGGTTATTGAACCGGCACATGCTGAAAAATCTAACCTTTTAAAAAATATTAATTCCAGTAACAGCAACCTAACCAAATATTTTGGATCCTTCAAGTTTTTTAGAGGGTGTAGGTCTGGATGACTTTTTCATTGTTCAGTGGTATTTGTTTCAGGTCAGTCATAACTGTTAAAAAGTGTAATACGTAGCTGGAAAGGAGCCGCTAGATTCTCAAAAAATAACCCCCCAAAAACCATGGGAATCCACCTTACTAGTTTTTCTGGAAAATGCAGGACAACTCAGGGAATTCCCAGGGACAGTGCATTTTTATATTCAGTCTGAGCACATTCAGTTTTAGCATTGTCTGTGTTCAATGTCCATGTCTATGTTCAGATAGAGTGCTTTATCTCATGTTAAAGGAGTTCACTGCAACCTTAGCTTAGAATTTAATTTTAATAACCCAAAGGGATTAGAAGCATACCTTGAGAAATGGCATGAAAGAAGTAGAACTTAATTCTTCCTAGTAGTGCATGCAGGTTAGATTAATTTAAACTGTACCTTCTACATTCCTCAAAAAAAAATTACAGTGGCACAGAGGAACAAAGAGCACATATAGCACTATTTGAGCACAATGGCACTAATTATCCAGACATATGTTTTCTGCCATAGAACACATTCCCATTGCTTTTTTATAGTGGCTCAGCCATTTATCTATACAACAATGTATGTCTAGTGCTTAGAACAGAACATGGGTATTAGAACTTAGAGTTCTTTGAAGTTCTGCTGCTAGCTTTAATTGGAGTTATCTCTTCATTTTCCTAATCTGTGAAGGCAATCCTGTTCTGGCTGCTGGGGTTCAATCAGACTAACCTAGCTATCCCTTGTGACCTTGCCTATCCCTGGTGATCCCTTGTGCATGCACTTACAGCTACTGAGCGTGTGCAGGAGGGTACCCACTGATAAGGCAGTATACAGTTGTGGCCACAAATACTTGAGCCTAAACCTTGAAAAAGCCAGAAGGCAGGGATTAGGGGTGAATCCAGACAGGGTATAGTGGCATGGCTACACCCAT